GGGGGAGAGGGGTGTCTGCGGAAAGGGAAAAGGGTGGGCGGGCGATTGTCGCGATGGCCAGACAGGTCGAGAGGCGGCTATGCTACGGCCCGGGCGCGAGGTTGGCGGGTTGACAACATGATGGCGGGGTGTAAGTGGGGGCGGGGCGAGGCGGCGGGAGGGGACGGCGGGCACTCAAGCTCGCGCGGCCGGACACGGAGGATCACGTGACCACACGCGACGACGAGACCCCCGCTAATCAGTTGGCGGCGCGATGCCCCCGACCGAGCTGCTGCTCAGCCGTTTGCCTTTAAGCCGTACGCATTACGGGAATTTCTTCGATAACAGTCAAAAACATTTGCGCAGGATTACGTGAAATTACTTTGGGATTACGCGGTGGCATCACTCGTTGGCGGCCGGCCCCTTTGAGTTCAACGACAATGACGACAGTATAACCAATCTCGATAACGCATTCTCGTGAACGACAGGAGGCCGAGATGCGTCTCTACCGGAAGGAGCTCCGCGCCGACTCGGCCGTGCTGATGAAGATCAGCGCCCTGGAGCTCATGAGCAAGGAGTGTAGGTGTGCCGCCCCGTCCCGGTAGCACTGCGCCTGGCGGGGGACTGACTTGTCTCTCTCGTCCGCGCAGTCTCGGCCACCTCCCGGCCCGCGGCGGGCGGCGGCGGTGGCGTGGCGGGGGACGTCGTCGGCGCCCTGCTCCCCCGGGTGGCGGACGACGGGGCGGCGGACCACCCGGACCAGCCGCCGCCCTGGGATCACGGCAGGAGCGGCCGCGAGGGCGGCCGGCCGCGAGCGTTGACGGCGATCTGGTGAGCGCCGTGGCCGTTGACCGAGGGAGGAGGCCACCATGCACGACGCCTAGGGATTTAAAATTTTCAAACCAACTAAAAAAACAAAACAATCACGTTTTTTACGGAAAGTTTTCCGTGAAAATTTGAAAAAAAGGAGAAAATAAGGGTCGGCTTTTTTCAATATTTTCGTTTGTTTCACTGTTTTTTCGGTTTTCTCCGCAACTTTTCCTTCCGGCCTCCGAATCGCCAACGACACCCGCCTCTAACCTCCGTCACCGCGCGTCTTCCAGCAGCGCCAGCGCGCTGTCGCGGCACCAGGAGGACGTGCTTCTGGGGCACTCGCACCCGGACTCGTTCCGCTCCGCCATCCGCCTCGCCTGCGTCATTGGCCAGGTCTTCTCCGTGCTGCCGACCTCCACGCGCCCCGACATCGTACCGAGGTGACGGAGCCTCATTCACTCTCTCAAACTGCAACCTCGCCTCTGTGGTTCTTCCACCACAATAAACGCTCCCCCGACGCTGAAAAAAAATCATTGTTCCAACGACCGTCGTGTTCTTTAGCCGGGTTGTTGGTAACACGATGTTGCTAGTCGTATGACAGCCGGTGGTTGTGCTACGAACCATGTCGTTGAGCCAGCATATTCTGGTCGTTGGAATAGCATCCTATGTTCCTGAAGCCATTCCAAAAACAAAATGTTGTTGGAGGTGCCAACTCACGTCGTTGGTACAATGATTCTTTTTTTCTTTTTGCGTGGAGGTAACGTATGAAACATCGCACTGTTACTAGCCTACAAAGCGAGGGGCGACCACACAAATTTTTGGTGTACATAGATATCTGGAGTATTTTTGGAAAGTCTGGAATATTTTTGGAAAGTCTGGAATATTTTTGTATAATTTTTCAGTGTGCACATGAAATATCCAAGTGGTCCACCCCGAGGGGTCGACTACTCAAATTCATGGTGCACGTGGGAAATCTGGAATATTTTTGGAATATTTTTCAGTGTGTACGTGGATTATCCAAGTGATACACCCCTCGCTACGAAGTCGACTTCGTCCTTTAGACGCCGAGAGATTTAAAATTTTCAAAACAACTAAAAAAACAAAAAAAACAAAAAAAAACAGTTCTTGGTTTACAGAACAAATACTTCGTAACTACAGAGCAGTTGATTCGGAATTGCAAAGTATCGCTTTGTAATTGCAACCAAGCAATGCTTCGTAGTCTACTAAGCATCCAAATCATTTGCACTCTGCGAAGCGCCTGCAAAGCATTGCAAGAAACGCTCCCGTGTCCTGGCCGAGCCCCTGTGGCTCCCAGGGTGGGCCGCCACGCGCACACAGCTGCGTGGCGGGTCGGCCTACCCTGCGCGCCGCGGGCGCTGACGCCCACCGGGAAACGTTCCGATGAGGGTTCTGCGTGATCGGTCGCCTTATCGCTATGAGGGTCTGGCGCGTCGTTGTAGGTTCCACTACGTGTCGCTGCGGGTCCTGTACTGGGCCGTCGTGACGTTCCTGCTGGGCTTCAACGCGGTCGTCGCCGTGGTGAACGTGGTCGAGGCGCAGTCAGGACGGAACAGCATCGTGGCCTCGAGTGAGTTTGTGACTTCGTGTGTGGATCTCAATAGGGCGGCGACATTGGCCATTTGAAAACTGAGCTTCCGCGCACGTATCGGGCTTTTCAGAACGGACAATAATATGCTGTGGGATTGCATATTCGTTCGAGTCACGGGGGTTATGGTGCCTCACGGGAGAAGGAAAGACGCAATCCAGCTACACTGTTGTGTTCGCTCTAAAGGACCCGTTACAAATTTTGGCCAGCTATAAAGATAATGCTAAAATTTGGGGGTTCAAAAAAGGAAGGTTCACGCGAATTGGACACTCTTTGTGTCATTCCATGTATCAGGTAATTACATTTTCTACGTGAGCGCCTTGACGGTGTCCGTCCTGTACTTCCGCGTGGCGCAGCAGTGGCGGGAGCTCTGCCTGTGCTTCCTACGCGTCGAGCACCGGATGCGGCGCTTCGGCTACCCACCGCGCCTGCGCTGTCGTCTGCAGACCATCACCGTCGTGGTGCTGAGCCTCGCCCTCACCGAGTACTCCCTGGCCATCGTCAGCGGCGTCTTGGCCATGGACCTGGACAAGCCTGTCAACGAGTTCTTCAAAGATTACTACCATGGAAACTACCCGCAGGTATAGGCCCATTGATTCTGTCCTCCTGGCGCAGGGCTATGCGATTATTCGATTAATCGAAAACTTGATTAAACTTAACGTTGGGCCCTTGATTTTGATCACAGCAATCGAAAGTCGTTACTGAGCTCGCGATTAACAATTATTCACAAGTTAACTTACGTTAAATTGGAGTCAGTTTGATCTTTCAAGTGATACAATAATTCCCTACAGATTGGGAGTTCACCTTAACTCCTCAAAAACAAATTTCAAAAACAAACCACCAAAAAAAAAATAATTGATTAAAACCGATCAAATGTTGATTATTTGATTTTCAATTACAAGTAACTGAATAGAACCATATCTCGATTAAATTGGACGATTTCAATTAGTTTTGATCCTTGCTGAATCAAACGAACCGTCTGACCTTGTATTTGTATGATTACAGAAGTTTACTTACTCGCTCGTCTATTCGAATCCTCTCGCCCTGATTGCAGATACTCTTGCTTATCCCGTACAACCCGATCGTATTGCTGGTGTGTCAGTTGGTAAACGCCATTGGCACGTTTATGTGGAACTACAATGACATGTTCGTCATGCTTATCAGCGTAGCCATTGCTCAGAAATTTAAGCTCCTCAACACGAAACTCTACGAGCTCCCAAAGAAGGCAGGTGGCTTTTATTTTTCTACACAGTAACCCCTTGCATTTTTATATAAGACTTTTCTTCTGAATTACCGTCAGGATAAAACGAGAGAATTTTGGAAAGAGGTCCGGGAAACGTATAATTCCCTATCCTTGCTGACACGAGAAGTGGATCAAATACTAAGCGTACAAATTCTTTTCTCTTTTATGAACAATTTGTACTTCATTTGCATACAGCTCCTTCACACTGTCAAGTTAGTAACAATTGTTCTGCGTTCAGTATTAGTTTCAAATAGTCGTTTTCATTTCGTTTTTCTGATTTACAATTCAAAACAAAATTATTTTTTCTCCAGACACGAGGATAACTCTATCGCCAAAAACATTTACTTCGTATTTTCATTTGGACTGCTATTATTGCGCACAGCATGCGTTTCCCTCTGTGCTGCTTCCATCAATGACGAAAGCAAACAAGTTCGGAAGTTTCTGTATTCTGTATCGTCGCGAACTTATTGCGAAGAGGTCGACAGGTTCATCATCCAAGCGACGACGGATGAAATCGCTCTGACGGGGCTCAAGTTCTTTAGCCTCACGAGATCATTTCTACTCACTGTAAGAGTTCTAAAGCATGTCTATTAAACTACCTCACCGAAACAATTTAAAAAAAAAAACTGTGGTTTTGTTTTGCAGGTTACAGGGACCATAGCAACCTACGAGATTGTACTTGTTCAGTTTAGTGGCAATCAAAAAACAGTGTAACGATGACTTACGTCAAACCCCTTCCGAAACCATATGTGGTCGTGGACGCGCTTTCTAAAAGGCATTTATCATACATGGCTGTGATACATTTATTACCTTTGTGTCAACGACTGCGTGCCCTTTCATACATCGGTGTTGTTGTTGTACTTTAAATTGCGAGAGCCGGCGCACGCAGAGGCGACGCGAGAAGAAAAGGGAAAACGAGACATGATTGGGCATCGATCTGTGCCTTAATTGTTTTTTATTGTAATCACACACCGCGGCCCCTGGCCTTGCTCATTGTGGGTTCAACGAGTGGGTTCCACTTCCGGCGAGCTGCTGTGCGTCACGCCACGAGCCGCGCCCGGCAGTAAACAAGCAGAGCGCCCCGCGGACAGGTTGGGCGCCCTGCTCAGCCGCGTGCTCAGCCGTGCTCAGCCCTGCCTGGCGGCCGGATCCGGAAAGCCGAGCGGCGGCGCTGCTCGTGTGCGTCTCTGTCAATCACTCTCGCGCCGCCGCGGTCGATAGCAGCGGCCCTCTCTGCGTCGGGCCGCCCCCCCGTGGGGCGCGGGCCTCGCCCGAGGAGGACGACGACGAGGAAGACGACGAGGACGGCGACGGCCGTCGGCGGCGGCCTTAGGAGACGCGTCGCGGCCATGGGCCCGGCGGCACAGGTAATTAATTAATCATGAAATAACGAAGCCTCCGCACTCTGCCAAATTGGGTGTCGCAACAACCTGTCGCTTCTGTTGTGCGAACCTCACGAGCGCCGACAACTACTTGAGAGGGGACGCTTGTGACAGCTATGAAGCTGCGGGCGCCGTAGGGATCGCGCTGCGGTTGCACACTGGATTTGACAACGTCTGGATCTCGCGGGAGTGTCACCGGTTGAACTCCATGAGGACTATTTCGTAACTCGCAATGGTGCCCGCCAGCTGCACAGAAAAGGAAAAGTAATGATGTTCACTGAGCATCGGAAAAATAAATATGCGACAAACTTCTGATGAGAATGGATTTTACCGTGAGCAACACCGATCGTGTTACGGTAAAGAATTTCATTCCGGTGAATCCCAGGTCGTCGTGGCATGCTTGCATGGCGAATCGATGCACCTTTGTTGGCCAACGTTTTCAGGATTAATTTTTTATTGCAAGTTTTATATATGTTATATGCAGGGCACCGCCTTACCTCATCACCGTAGTAGTCGGTGGGTACTAAATGAAGACTGTTTCTTATGCAAATGTTTTCCTCGTATACAGAGGCCAGAGACAAAGTGGCCACTATGACACGACAAATCCAAAACGACATCGAGAGGAAAATGTAGACTCTTTTAAGAGTATCTATTTCGCTGAAATAATATTAAGAACATGATAATGGTTCTGCAATAAAGAACAGAGATACTTAAAAATCTTTAATCTACCTGTCAAGCAGTAGTAAAATTCCCCCGCAGACAAACCAGAGGCCGATAGCATAGGACAGCAGGACGTGTGGCCCCAGGATTCGGTCTAAGTCCGATATGAGGACTACGACGTCGTTGTAACTCTCCCGCACCCTCCGCCAATCCATCTCTGTCATTTTCTGAGTGTCCGGTGCAGGAAGGAGTAGGTTAATTACTGCATGACGTGCGGCGCTATTCCAAGCGGTTGTTGCCCAATGCCCATACCCCTACCTCGTACTTGAGCTCCCCAATCTTTTTATTTATTGATTTGAATTTGGCCGCGGCCGCTGCTCCTATAGCCCATAGGATGAGGTCGGTGTAGGTGATCGCAAGCTTTGCCTGCGCCTTCGTCCAAAATACCCAAATGACTAATGCGATGTTGTACACAGGAATTATCTTCATCTAAAGATAGGAGGGAAAGTTTTTATAAATAAGTATTTGGCTGGTTAAGTGATGTGAAAAAACGCGCCCACCTGTGGGAATGACTCGTAGTAAAACTTTTCGACGAAGTCACCGACCCCATCGAAAGGCCGAGGGTTCTCCATCATTTTGGCGATTGATGGGACCGCATCCACTGCCATTTCAACTTGTCGACAAATAGATTTTTGCAAGTTAGTTACTGAATATAAACCCACCAACACTGAAAAAGGAAGTGTAACTGGCATGCATATGGTTGTGTTTAACTATCTTGCACACTCTCAGGTGGTCGGCTGGAAATTTGAACACTTAAAAGTGTTGAACAGTAGATTTAAACACTTGAAAGTGTCCAAAGCTTCATGACCAGCCCTTAAGTTGAACACTTCTAAGTGTTCGCTTTTACTGTTGAACACTTAAGTGTTCAAATGTCGAACAGTTTAAAGTGGGCAACTTAGTGTTGAGCACTTATATGCGCACGCCAGCTGCTCACTTTATTTGTCAGTGAAGGCACTTTGCCTGAAGCGAAAACTATGACATTGTCATCACCAACAAATGTGGCCAAGATGAATACGGCCGTCATTGATCGAATGTAGGAGCCGAAGGAGACAGCGTTAAAGCCCTCAGTCGCAAGGCGTCGCTCCACGCGCTGGAAGCCCGCGCAGACCCGGTGCCAGCGCCGCGAGAGCCTCAGGAACAGGAAGAGCACGGCCAGCACGGACGACGTGTGGACGATGTTCCCTGCAGCACAACGCGTCGTCACTCGAGGGGCAGGGCGAATGGCAGTCGCTGGTGGTGGCCGACGGAAACTTGGTACTTCACTCAAAATCCAAAAAAATCACCCCCCACCCCCTACCCAAAAGAGCTTCAACAACAAAATCACCCATAAAAAAAAAATCACCAGATTTGGTTTTGTACAATTGGGAGAACAAATCAGAACAATTACTGTATTTATTGTAGAGAACCACTCCGTGGTGGCGTCACCTTTGATTCCGTTGACGAACTTGACGGAGGTAGAGAGATCTTCCTCGTGGCTCAGCACCAGCAGCACCGACATGGCGACGAACGCCAGCGCTGAGACGATGAAGTAGATTGCTCGCGGGGAAAGCCACCGGAACCTGCGTACCAGCTTATCTCGACCACTTGGAAAAGCACACGACAGCTTGTCGATCTCTCGGCTCGATCGCAAGAAACAGACCAATAATTTAAACTGCGAATCAGGTCGATAAAATGAAATATCAGCGTTTTCGAAACTGGTTTACTTTGGCGACCAGCAGGGAAATTAAGAGGGGTGTGCGCGGATGTCACTGCAGGAGTCCAGGCGAAACCACGTGACCCCATGATATTCGCACCCCAAGGTAGAAATATCACGTGGCTCCTATCGACCCCGAGATACTTGTGGGACCCCATAATATTATTTGGAGGGCCAAGCCCCTTATAGAGATTGCGCCGATTGCGTTGTATGCTTAAAACCTTATGCCGTGGCGTTTACCAGGCAAACATGGTTGTTAGGTTGTTGGTTCGCGCGAGGCACCAGGTGTTGGGGGTTGGTTCACTCGCCTCGGATTCGGGCCGCTGCTGCACGAGAAGATGCCCAGGACGTGGCCGACGAGCAGGGCCGGCCGCAGCGCCCACTCGAGCGTGTCCTCGTGGCTCGCGGCGGGCACCAGCTGCTCGCGGCCCGTGGCCCATACGGACCCGGAGAACGGCCGGAGCGGCGGAGAAGGCGTCGGCAGTTCTGGAACAGGGACCGGTCGCCGTCAAGGGAGCAGGGTGATTGTGACCGACGCGTGTCACTGGTCGGGCACGTACCACCGCCGGGGATCGGCTTGATCGGCTTCCTCGGGCGCACCTGCTCCAGGCTGCGCAGCGCGTCGCCGAACAGGCTGATCGCCATCCCGCCGTCCTCGTCGATCGCGGCGCGGAGGGGCACTTCGGCGACGTGGCTCGCGATACCGTCGACTGGGGCGCCGGGCCGCCGCGCTTCAGAGGGCACGGCGTTGCCATCCCCACAATTGAACGGCAGGGGGCTCTTATTTTGCTAGCTATGATGGAATGGATTGTGTACTCAAGCGCAGAGGGGGTAGTGGCGGACGGCGGCATAACGTAAACGCTTCCGCGTCGTAAGGAGGTTGTTGGTTTGGTTAAGATGTTGTTGTTCTTGTTTGTCGATGTGTTTGCAGGGCCCTCGTCGTTGCGCCGACGTTCCGCGCAGATGAAGAAGCACTCGTCGCTGCTGCCCGACCTCTTCGGGAGCGGCGGCTTTGCCGGCCAGACGCCCGCCAGCGACCAGAGCCTCCTGACCGCGCCCGCGCACCCGGACTCGTTCTACGCGGGCGCGCGGGCCGCGGTGAGGATCGCACAGTGCTTCTCGCTCATCCCCGTCAAGCTGTCGCCAGGGAGGGAGCCCAGGTGAGGGGACGACCGGGGCACTTACTACGTTCTCCTCGGGCACGGGGATTCTTTTGGATAAAAGAAAGTGAAACATTTTTGCGCCCATATACAAGTATAATGTACAGAAAAATGCTTTCTTGCTATGCTTGGGCCATGCCAACCCCTGATGGAACTGCGGGATAGGATCCGGACACGACATTCATCCTGGATGCATCCTGGCGCGTCCTCGCTCTCCTATGGCGTCCACG